CTATGGCTTGTTCTTTTTCCAGATTGTCAGCATTTTTCAAAAATCAACGACTTTCTTAAGAGTCAAGGACTGCCGCCAATCGACTGGTCGCTAGCCTAGGTGCAAGCACGAGGCGCGTCTTTTGTTTGACTTTTGACTTTTCAAGTCTATTATCTTCGGTGTCTTCGGGCATTTTCAATTCTACCCTCCAAATATCCTTCTCTTTCAAAGGTGAGGAGCTGCATCTTTCATCATGCAGAGCACGCATGCATGTTCCACTGAAGCCTTCAAAATTAAAATTCATTTTCTTTCGGTGCCAACCCCAGCTCGTGCACATTGACAGACGGCAACTATCAATTCTTGACAACTGGACTCAGATAAGAGGGTAGGTACTAGGTAGTGAATTTCTAGGAGGATTTGTTCATTCACTCTCAGTGAAGTGTATAGATGGGTAGACTCCCGGTAGTGCTTACTTCGTTTTTCGGACTTTTCCACGTACGAATGTATTTTTTTTCCCATGTACAAAATGTTAGGATTGTCGAAAACTGAGGAAAGCGCCGTTTTTGTTGTTGTTGTTTTAGCTTGTATAGAAATGTCATTTGGAGTGTGGTCCCCTTTTTGAAAGGTGTAATTCTGTCGCTACCTTGTCAGAGCATATGGAGGAAGGCCCGCACCTCTTTTCCTGTTTACTCCTCTTTTCTCCCTCTTACCAATCACTGCGGAAGTTGCCAAAATGCGCGTGGAAAAGCACTTGGTCATACCGAGCACCGGCTTTGCGTGAATATTTGCCCAAATAGAACACCGAGTCTTTATAGTTGTACTTGGGGCAACTTTCAGTCTAGTTACAGTGCGTTCTATTTGGGTGAAGACGGTATGCGTTGAGGCCATTCAGATGTGGATATCTAGCCAGATGTCGTTGATTGGATACCTGGATCGTCCGGACAACTCGGACTGGAATTTTGTTCTTTAGTCTTTTTTTTTCCCAGATTTTTTCCTATGAGATTTTCGTCGAACTTGGAAGGACACACACATAAAAGAAGAGTACACATGCGTAAAATGGACTAAATTTTTGCTTTCTGATCCCTTGAAAAAGGAGTGTGCGGGGGGGGGGATGGGGGGGGAGATACGGGAGGGGTGTTTTCTACGTGTCAAATGGTGGGCATAAATCTGGCAAGATTTCTGGGAGGGTGTCGAGGAGGTTTGTGAGGTTTATAGAACATTATACTATCGTCGTTATAGTACCGAGGAGACTAGTTTTCAACAAAAATATAAAATATAAAATAAAATATATAGGCTACCAGCCGGGGCCGCCCGGGTCACCTTTTTTTCCCGGGCGACCCGGCCGTGCAAGGACCAGGGAAGGTCCGAGCCAAAAAAAAAAAAAAAAAAAAAATCCAAAAAATCGGAAAAAAAACTATGAAACTGAACACCTTTTGCCTCAGGGTTACCATTTGAATTGAAATTAAAAATTAATTTTTATTTTTTTTACTATTTTTTTATATTTTTGGCCCGGCCGGGCAAGTGGACCCGGGCCACTCTGGTAGATTAAAAAACATTAAGATAAGAAATAGGGTTTACAAGTTTACAACTTTACAGGGGTTTGCTGCCAAGGCTGAAAACGGGCTGCACACTGACCTGCCAGCCCAAAAAAAAAATTGTTTTGGCTGGCGGCGCCAGCCTTTGAGGGCTGCTACCGCGAGCGTCCGGAAGTTGCGGGGCGATGACTACAACACTGTGCGGCTGATGTATGGGCCAAGTGCTGGTGGTTTAATGGTCCCTTATACAAATGGATGAGAACTTTACAGAAGTTTAAAGGCCTTAGTTTAATTAATGTTTTATGTACCCCTGAACTTTACAGAAGTTCAAAGGCCGCCTCTATTTTTTATATTTTTGGGACGATTTCTTGGGTTACGCCTGTCATTGTTGCACAGGGGCCACGCTAATCTTCTCCGTATTTTACCAATTTTATTATTTATTATTTAATGCTCTTCCTGAACGACTAACCGCATGAATTTTGATTTTCTTGTTTGTTTTTTTTTCCCCTTGGCAAGTAGGAGATGACTGTCAACGAAAACAAGAAATGAAAACCCTCGGCAAAACTTTGCCAGCATCGCGTTTCTGTGCGGAACGAAATATGACCGAAATTACCCGAGGCCGCCCCCCTGGAGGGGGCACCACGCCGCAGGCAGTGGGCACTGGGCACACACCTGACCTCCTCAATTTAAGAGACGTTTTTTTTTGTTTTTTTTTGGGGGTGAGGTTTCGGGGTAGGAAGGTTTAGCTGGGCTGAAGGCCGCCTCCATGTGAGCACGGATTTGAACCGGCGACCTTGGCCTTTAGCTAGGTCGAGCTGCTAACCACTATGGCCAAGACACGGTGTTCAAACGCGGAACCGTCCTAGCCGCGATATCCAACCTGTCCCTGCAAAGCTGAAGTGTCCAAGTCAACACACACCACACGAGGTGACAGGAGCATCCTCCCAAAGCGTTCCCCTGCAATGAAGGCAGCTCTATTGGTGGGTAGCTGCCCCCTGTGGAAAGCGGAGCCTCACTTCAGGAGTTTGGGAATTTTCTCACTTCAGGGGGTCAGGAGGGTACAAACTGGGTTTAAACTTTAAAGGGCGACTTTGAGATGCCATTGCCTGCAAACCGTTGTGCGATGCAAAACAATGGCGATGCTGTGAAAGGTCCATGAGCTTCAATGCTGTGAAAGGTCCATGAGCTTCCATAAGAATAAGAATGCTGTGAAAAGAACAGTGATGGAAGGTCATGGAGCAAGGACATTGTTTGTTATGGAAGTTTGTTATGGAAGCAGTAGGTGATGGACCCGTGGTTCTTTCACTTTATATAGCTGTCGGAATCCCGGCTTTGCCAAAGTTGGGATCCCGACACATGAGAGGTGGATCAGTGGAGTGCAAAATGTGTCGGAGGAGAGAGGGTCCTTGAACAAGCCATCGCATACGCCTGCACGAGCCCCCAGTGACATGGGGGATGAGAGAGAGAGAGAGAGAGAGAGAGAGAGAGAAGAAGGGGGGTGAGAGGGGTGATGGGAATGTCAGTCCAATGAACAGCAACAGTGCATGGAGATTGAGGGGCAGGCCTCCACAGGTGCTGCTTGAGCTATGAAAGCATGAATCTGTGCCTATTTTGTGATAGGTTCATGCATCTGTAGCATGCACCTGTGCAGTGTGCCTCTGGATGTGGTGATGCTCCAACATTTCTTTGCATAGGGAAGCCAAATGCCATCCACACTTTAGACCACAACCAGAAAGAGACAGGGCACACATCCTTCGAGTAACAAGAGTGTGACATCCTGTGAGCAACAAAGTGAGTTCTTGCAGGGAAAAGACACCAAAAAAGACTCTTCCGGTACTAGATTCGCTGTTTGGAATGGATAGCCTGTCTAAATTAGGAAATTTCAAGTTGGCGAAATTGCAGTACATTTCAATACCATACTCCTGATGTCGCCACCTTTTCTGTTTTTTTTTTTTTTTTTTCCCCATGCCTTTTTGAAGCTGCTCCAAATCGCTATTGTACCATCTTTGACCCCTGAATCAAGCGCACAGTGATCATAGCTGTGTTTGGGGCAATTTTCGGTGATCTGGATACAGCCTTGACGACTGTGCATTCATTCGATAGAGAATTCTTTTTCCCACCTTTTCGGTGGAAGCTTGCCAAATCACTACTCGGCTACTAACCCTTTTTCCCCACTTTTTCGAAGCTGCTGAAATCACTATCTGCCTTAAACATTTCCACGCCCCTGCGATTTTGAATGCCTAGTTTGAGTCTGCCCGAGGATATAAACAGAAAGTAACAAATTTGTTTTCTTTTTTTTTGTTTAGTAAAAAATTGTAAGAAGTATTGAGTACTGAAAAAATTGTAAAAATAATAATGATACTTCAAAAAAAAAAAACACTTAGTCACGTAATCTGTCGCCGGATTGTTTTGATGTATTACAAGCTCACAAATACGCACCCCTCCCCATTTTCAGTTCAGCCCACATTGTTTTGGGTATTTGCTATGCTGCCCCGACGCCGAACATGTTCTCTGCCATAAACTGGGCTTTCATTTGCAGAGCTACCCAGTCGATATGTGCACGGCCGCTGCAGTCTCCAAACGCAATGGTGGTTGAACCATTGAAAATTATTTTTTTATGTTTTTTTTTAATCAAAAACGTTGTACACATTCAAGGTATAGCTCAAGAGCGCAGGTACAATCTCACCTCAAAAGGATTGTTACAACTCACACAAGTGACAACAGTATTATTATTAATATTAAACAACTTTATTATTAATATTAAACAACTTAAAAGTTAAAACCACCAGTACTTCGCGCATACATTGGTGGTGGGCCCTTGATATTAATGCACCACGTTAAGTGGGGGCTTTGGGGCCAGCCACCAGACCACAAGGGCTGGCAATGTGACACAGCGTGCCACACAGGGCCTTTGGAGCCCTGAAAGAAAGAGGCCCGGAAGTACTGCTGGCTTAACTTGGTTCGTTCGTCCCAATTTGGGTTTAACAACTTCGAACTTTCATTCGTACTGTCAACTTATGTAATAGGTGGATCTCTACCCGACTATTCGGGAATGGCATGAACAGCATGTTTGGGTGGAACAGCATGGCACCACATCTGCAACTGCAACTGCTTGACGACCTGGATTATAATTGTGCTCAAAAGTTAAAGCATTAAAAAAAAAAAAAAGGCCTGATGGTCGTATTGTCCTGCGTCTGGAACCCCGTAGCCCTATAACAAAGAACGAAGGGGTTAAAACTTAAAAGACTGTGGGAATACTTTCCTATTTTAGCTGGAAAAGCATGGCACCTCAGTACTGCAACTGCAATTGTTAAAACCCCCAAGTAAATGTTCTGGCAACTACTGTCAACCTTGCCGCAATCTGAACTCAATTTGGGGCCAATTTTGCAATCAGCATGGGGCACCTTATGGGGTCAATCTGTTCATTAATAATTCGTTAGTGTCAACCTTGTAGCCAGTTTGGGCTCCAATTTGGACCGAATTTGGGCTCAATTTGGCAATTGATTTTGGCTAGTTTTGGGCCCACCTTGGGCCCAATCCAGCATGGATTTTGGAGTGAATTTGGAATGGAATCCCATTACCAGGTGAATCTGTCCGTTAATGATCCGTTTACGACCGCATTCCTGCCGTGTGCCGTAACGACAACGACGACACATCCCTGCTGTAAACCTTTGACAATCACCGGGAACGCGATGAAAGGCGAGTGCCTGCTGCAACGCAGGAAAGAGAGACCCCAGAGAGCAAGAAAATGTGTCCTGTCAGATATTTGAAGGCCCTCTAGGAGCAAACAGCAACTGAGGCGAAGAGAAGGGAAGGGAAGATCAGAGAGGCTATGTTAGATGTCCGAAGCCGCTCTAGCGGCAAGCACCAACTGCGGCAAACAGTGGGGAGACTATGTAGGTTCCAGGGAGTGACTAAGTACACCGTGCTAGATGTCAGAAAGTCCCTCTAGTAGCAAGAACCAATCAAGATAAGGAGAGAGATGATGGCAGATTATCTATGTTCTTCAAGAAAGATAACGCTCCTCCAACAAGAGAGATGATGGGAGTCTACATGCCTTGACAACGACAAGGTTCCTCCAATAGCAGCTGTCGCCAGTCGGCAATGGTCTCTCAGACCAAGACACGCTCTTTCCACATATTCCCACACCGCTACGCTGGTCTTTTTTCTGTTCATGCCTCAACTCTGATGTACTAACGGGTCTTTCCCACTCCAGTCGTGTTTCAGACTTCACCGGCTACACACACTCACGTGCACACACACACACACACACACTCTACCACACTACGCACCTACGAGCAGAGGGGAAGGAGCCTAAATCGACGGACTTGGACCGCGAAACCAAGCACGTCGCATACTTGAGAGTTAAGAACACTTCTTCATGTGTTGTACACACACACACACACACACACACACACACTACACACACACACTACACACACACACACACACACACACACACACACACATACATACAGTTCGACCTCCTCACGAGTCGGTGAAAGTCCGACGAAACCGTCTGGCACAGGAAACAGTGGCACAGTCATTCTTATTTTCTTTGTAGAGTTGTGTACAGCGAACATGACAACACACGCACATACAGACACAACCTGCCGATGAGTCAGTACAGGCACAGTCATGCCTTTTTTGTGGAGCGTGTATAGCGAACATCGCAGCACACGACACCACACATACACCACACACACAGCACACGCAACACACACAACACACACACAACCCCACACACACAACACACACAACACACACAATACACCACACAACATACCTCACAGAACACACCACACACACACACACATACGCAGACACATTTCCTTCTCCCAGCCTCTCACTCGGCCCCACGAGTTCGTAAATTCCGTATCACATCATTCTCAGCAACACGGCCGCCGATCATCGATCTGCCTCTGCCTCCTGCTGGCAATCAATTGCATTAAGAAATTTTAGATGTCCGTCGTGTTCCTCGACCTTCTTCCGGCGTAACTTCTTCAGTAAACTTTGACCGCCATGGTGAGACCCATTAGCCGATTCTGTTGCTGAGCGATAGACGTGCCACTTCTGGAATACCTGTGGCTGAGGCAAGTATGGCCGCACACGCGGGGATGATAGGCATGCTTCTGAGCAGCACCCTCGCACCCTTTCGGAACATGCTGGGCAAGAGCTTTAATTATTAAAAAAAAAAAAAAAAAAAAAAAAAAAAAAAAAAAAAAAAAAAAAAAAAAAAAAAAAAAAAAAAAAAAAGGCAACCGAATACAGCGAATAGGAAACAAGTTCAAAGTTCAAACAACATTTTTTACGGAACGGAAAATCCAACAAACAGAAAAGGAAGGGAAACGAATATAGAACACAGACACCACCACAAAAAGAAACCAGTCAGCGACACACACACACACACACAAAAAAAAAAAAAAAAGCCATTGTAGCATTGTTCGCTTTTTCATATAGGGACTAGCTCACAGATTTTCTTTATAGCATGCTACAACACGCTGTGGATATACTACGACATTTGTCTTTTGTTGTGGCCACTGTGACACCCCTCTGGGTTCAGCCGATGACGCCGTCCCCGGTGGGATCAAGGATGCCGAGCCCGGTTCTCGGCCTTATAAAAGAAACTCCATCTCAAAAAAAAAAAAAAGATGCCATAATAAATTAATAATCAGTATTAAATTATTAATTTACTATTAAATACGATTAAAATTATCTAAAAAGTAGTAAAAAGTCGTAAAAATGAAATTATATAAATAACTATTAAATAGAATTCATTCATTGTAAATTATTAATCACACTACTCAATACTAGTCCACCCATTCAGGCTACAGAAGAGCTGGCAAAATGGCCGTATCCAACGTATCGCCATGACCTATCACCCCGCACTGTGATTCTCAGAACACCCAAAAAAAAGAATTTTTTTCTTTTTTTAAACCTTTGTATTTTTGTTATGCCTTTGATCTGAACCAGCATCAGGAACCAGGAAACATTCACAGTCCCTTATATTTGGCATTCATTGGCAGTTCCAGAGTCCAGAGAGCCATGACGGGGCAAGCGATCATAGTTTCTTTTGTTTATCAAACGCGACAGCCTTGAGATATCACCGCAAAACTGACCAGCCCGCTGATGGCAATTCAGGAGGAATATCATTCATCTAGTAGTTCCATCTGGGTTCGAACTCAGGTCTGCATGTCGACAGTTTGTGGGTGTACCGACTGAGCTAGGCCCGATGGAGGCAATCATGTCCTTTTTTTTTCTTTTTTTTTTTGGACCATTTCTCGATTTATGTGTGTCATCCTTACTTGAGCAGGGGCCACTTCGCAAGTAAGGATGACACACATAAATCCAGAAATGGTCCAATCTGTGAGGATTGAGCCCTCAACGGGGCCTTGCCGACATGCATATGTTCTGGGCATAGGCCCCCAGCAAGCTTGGTGCCCGCCCTAAGTGAAGGCGGGCCAGAATACCTTCAAGAGGCCTTCATTCAGCATTTCCCAAAGTGGGTATCAGACAGTTGCCGCACTCCAGTTGGTTTAAGTGCATCGTGAGCCTCCTTACTCCTGCAAAGGCAGTTGAGCCCAGGGCCGGGGTTGGTTGAGCCTTGGGCGACAGTCTGGGAGGCCGACACATCACACATTGGTCCCTGGCCTATGGAAAAGCAGTATTTCGTCGTAGAGGCTGAAGAAACCAATGGGAAACCGGTACGGGGTCTGAATCTGGACAACGGCCCTAGCATAAGGGGCGCAACTGTATTACCTGGGCCCCATCTGCATTGGGCCTGGGCACAGATACTGGGACCCAGGTGCAGGCTCGAGGTAGACCGCCCACACGCAACACTGGCATATAGGCAGAGCGGGCGAGTGGGGGGGAATCTTGGCCATTGCGAGCAAGGCCGGCACGCTGTTGCATTGCGAGGTGCTGCGCTGCGCTAGGCTGAGAGAAGGCAGGCTGGCACTAAGCGGTAGGGCACAGCCTGGGCGCAGGGCGCTGGCAGCCATAGCCGGGCTGCATGAGAGCGCTGGGGGAGGTGAGGGCGGAGGTGGTTCTTCGGAAGGTGAAGGGCGCTGTGTGGGATAACAAGGCAGAGTGAGGGAAGAGGGAGAGACGTACCTGGAAGGAGAGGAGGTCGGCATTGGTGTTGATGTCATCACTAGCTGGTCGTCAAGTAGTCTGGTTGCTTCCATGCTGTAGTCGTAGGATAGGCTGTAGAGTAGATAGGGCGCCCGGCGCCATTCGAAGTGAGAGCTACATTGGGTTCTGATGTTGGTGTGGCCCTTCGGGCTTGGACATTGACTCTCGATTCTGCTGTATCGTTCTCAATGGATGGTTTCTTGGTTCCAATGTGCTATCTGCTCTTTGCTCGACTACATGGACTTCAGGGTGATTTGCAATTTGGATTTCTGTACTTCGTTCACACTCATGTTCCTTGCAAATCTTTCTACGGAAAAAAAAAAAGAAAAAAAAAAAGGCTTACTGATGAAGGCCACTGCGGGGATGAAACAGAGACCATCCTTTTTTTTGTTTTTCTTTTTTCTTTTTACTTTTTTACTATTTTTAGCTGAGTGCGGACGCCGCCCGGCCGGGCAGGCGGGGCCCGGGCAGGTCGCCCGGGCAAACCGGGCGGGCCAAAAAACAGCCCAGAATGTTTTTTGTTTTTTTTTTGAGGGCGGGGTCGTGCTGTGCTCGGCGAGGGGACCCCGAATCTGCAATAAAATTTTAGTTTGGGTGTGGGGGGG